AGACTTCAGCCTGCTCAGGCTCCAGATTTTTTTCTGAATTACTGCTTGTAAAGCATGGTCATATTTTCAATGTCTCTCTGAAATTTCCCATAGTGTTCATACTGTGGAAGAGAAAGGAAGAACTGTGGAATCCAGTATTTCTGTGTGCTCAGCTTAGAAACTTTAGGATTTTCAAGTGTGTAAGATGCTTGTAGTGTGCTTTATATATGTTAAAAGATGAAGTTCATTTTAGTTGGAGATATGAACACTTGCCGTTCCTGCCTATCTGGCTTTTGATCTCTGTCGGAGCGTGCAGAAGTGCATGAGTTAGGCCAAGCTATGGGGAATCTTCATCTAATTTTCCCAGCACCATGTAAAAGCAGAAGAAAGAAAAGAATCTGGCCCTGTGCTGGCATTCCTAACAAAATGACTGAACTGTGGGGACATAGGAATTAGGAAGTGAACTCTTACACTCTAACCTCAAGTAGTTATTCTTAGATGTCCACCCTAAACTTACCCCAACTGGTCTATATTGTCCTATTTTGTAAAATCATCCTTGTCTCTTGGTTAAGTGGAAAATGAAAGGGCTCCTTTCTTTCTGGTATTTTCCCCATTAGTATGGTCACATAGTATTAATAGCTTTAGACCTCTAGGTTTTCATATACGTGCCTTCTCTGCTGAAAAGTACTTCTTCATTATAACTTAAAAAACACAACAAAAACTTTAAAAATTCTGGAGAACTAAGCTTCAGCCTAATTTAATGTTTCCTGGATGTAAAGACATATTTCTCCCTTTGGGAAATGCTGTGTATTTCTTGTTTGGGATTAGATGCCAAGACTTTTAAAAGGCAAGATTTAATTATTTTGTTACTTTCTTTAAACTTTGTTCTGCTGTTATTGTTTTTGGTGGTGAAATTCCAAGTAACTTTATCTTTTAAGCCACCTTTCTCTTTCTGAACTAATTTTAAAAAAGGAAAATAAAGAAAACTGCTCAGAGAAGCACAGTGTTCTTTTACAGGAAGCAGGTGCTGGACTGATTTTTATCAAGTCCATAGTTATCTAAGACATTATAGAAAGTAATTAGAGGACTGTAGCGAGTTCTTGCTGCTGTAGCAAGCTTAACTGATCTCTGATCCTAGGATCTTTCTTGACTCTTTTAAAAGTAACTATTCTTAATCTTCTAGTATTCCTTGAGAGGGAGGGGACACATCCTATATAGGCATGCAGAGATGACTGCAAGATATTTTAGCAACATTTTGGAACTGGCTGAGAATCTTTTTGGAATGTGAATTTGATTGACAGAGGAGGTTAAAGCTTCATTTAACTTTGAGTCATTGCACTAAGGGATAAAGATTGGCAGCTAAGGCATTTGTGCACACCCAGATAATAGGAAAGTTTGACCACTCGTTGTTGGGGTTGGATGTGTTGGTTGGAAGGAATTGGTTGTGAGGAGTTATCGGGGGCCCTCCAGCATCTGAAAGATCTAACACATCTGTGTAAAAAGCTGTTACCCCTGTGAATATGCACAGAGTGACATGAAACAATTCAATACTAAGAAATTTATCTCATGAGATGTGGTGGTTTTGAGGGTTTGTTTTTTTTTTTTTTTTTTTTTTTAGATTTTTTTTAAATAAAATTCTGTGTAATTGGTACAAAGCTGTATTGTAGTGACCTGTTTAACCCCCTTTAATCACTAACATATTTTGGTGGGAACAGTATAATTCCTAAATGGCTTTGTGCCATTTGCACTTCCACATCCATGGAAAAACCATAATGTGCTGAGATCTTTGAGGCAAAGACAAAGGTTTGAATTAAATATTGCAACTGACAAATCAGTCTTTAGTAGTTGTGACTATTTTCCTCTGAGTTTGGTAATGTGACAAATACCTAGTAGCATAGAATAAGTCAAAATATGGATGTGTTAAAAATAATTTACAGTCCTCTGAAGGACTCAGACTTGTTCTTGACTATCCTACTTTGAGTCTCTTTTGGGACTGCACAGCTGCATTTCGAATGAAATTGTAGATATGTTCTGTATCCAATAAACTACTGTACAGGCTAGATGAGAGAGTTAAAAAAAAAAATCTCCACCTTGTAAATATTTTGGGCCTCCAAGTTGGCTCATTGCTTATCCCAAAGTAATTCATTGGAAGTTCTGCATGTAGGGTCACAATTTTTGATTCTTACTCCTCATCTCATGTTTTTGGTTCAGTTGTTTCTCTTTACTGAAGAAAAATAGCATATATGATGTCTTGCTGAAAGAGAAAATTGAACGAAATAAGTGTGCAGTCTTTGTTCTGTAATAAACAGACCTAAATTCTGGTAAAGCAGCTTTGTTTCCCACCCGGAAATCACAACTCAAAGTTCCCATCTGACATCAAGCATGCTAAGCAATCTGAGTGCAGCTTGGTGGTGTTCTCTCTGGCCACTGCATTTCACTCTGGGCAATTCCACAGCTTTGGGAATTTCTAGTGTCAGGTCTAACAAGACTCTTGTGCCTTTGTTGTTGGTACATCTGAAGGTGCTGAGAGTAGAGAATGGTTTTGGAGAAAGTAGTCCCATGTGGGAAGATGCAATTCAGTGAGGTTTTAGCAGGCACAGGTGTGGACAGGGTGCTGTTAGCTGGGAGGCTGTCTGATGGGGAACTTGAGGTTTTACAAGGCAGGCAGGACAGCTGGGATAAATTAGCTTAGCCATTCAGAGGATGCACCTGGGAAGAATTCCACCTGCTCTTTTCCTGGGTGAGAAGTTGGATGTGGAGGCAATATTTTGTGAGAGTCTGATGTCTAAATTCAGACAAAAGACGTGCTAGTTCTTTCAGTATCTGACTGCTGCTGCGTAAGATACATGGAGCTCATTCTTTCTCACCAGACAGCATTTGTTTTAAAGTGTTACCAATGAGTGTAGAGTGCTGGGGTCTCACTTTCTTACTCATGATTCCTTTTCAGGAGGAGGAATGCATGATGTATTCCTGTAGGTGTGCTTTTAGAAGGATTTTTCCCTGTGTGTCTTTAAGATGTAAATGTTGGCACACAGCTGAGCTGGGACAAGAATTTAAGGCTGCATTAGTGTTCAGTAGTCTAGGAGCAACATAACTGAATTCCACATTACTTCCCTTTCAGCTCTTCATCTTCTCTGCCAAGTTTTGCCAGTAAGCGTGCTAACCTGTAGCGATTCCTCATGTGTTACCATAATTTCTTAAAGGAGGGCTAGTGAGCTGGTGGGTTTTTCTTCCTTTGAGTTGGTATGCCTTAATTTATATGTTAAAACCTATTTCTTAAAGATTCTAAGTTTTTGCTGCACAACTTTGAGTATACTTCCTAGCTTCGTGATTCTTTGATCTAATACATCAATAAGATTAAATAATCTTTGTAGGAGTTAATAGATATTTTTAAATGCTGCTGCTGTGTAAGCTTTGGGAAGGTCATGACTTGAAATGCCTGAGAAAGTCTTGAGAGGTGTTTTTTTCTTTCTTTTTTTTTTTTTCCCCCTCTGTGCTGCACATTGTGGAATGATAGAAATGACTTGAAATGCCTGAGAAAGTCTTGAGAGGTGTTTTTTTCTTTCTTTTTTTTTTTTTCCCCCTCTGTGCTGCACATTGTGTACAGCCTTAGGCAATCTGTTCTTCCTCTTGCTGTGCTTTCTTCTGCCTCTGAAAGTGAAATAATTATCTAGCTTTCTTGAGACTGGGTAGGATGTTTTTTAAACAGCAGTGACAACAGAAAATGTCCTTAGGTTTTGAGTGAAGGCTTTGTTGTAGGTGTTCTGTTTGTTAAAAATACATTGCCTGCCATATAAATCCTGTTATCTGTTACTTTTATGTTAAAATATCTTGGCTCTAGGAGGGTTATTTTCCTCATTTGGATAACTGTTTTTGGAGGAATTTGATA